GTAAAATAGCCCATATATTATACCTAGCTAGCTTGCTTGAGTTGAGACGCAAGCTCCATCATATTCTTATTCTGGCCACCGATTTGCTGTGTTTCGTCTTTTCCTTGTTTACCTTATTTTCTTTCACGTCATCTAGTATTCTTTTTTATTCTTCGTGGCTTTCATTATGATTCCATAAATATATGTGCGTTTGTGTCATTTGTGATTTACGTCAGCTCCTAAACAATTAATATGCCATATTAATTACATGAATATATTTATAATTCTCATTATATTTCTCACTGATGATTTTAAAAATAATGCTAGTGATAATTAGAATTATTACTGTCAGGTCATCTCCCTCGTTAATTAAGCGGTGTTACTTATTCCTCATGTGTATACCTTTAAATATAATCAATTTTGAAAATATCAAGTGATTGATGTGATTAACATAGATTATTTATGAGATATAGCGTTTTTAATCTATATGCGTGTTTCTAAACAAAAAGACAAGGTAGTTACATTGTATTGTATGCATATTTCATCATATGACGGGATTTTCTCTGAGATTACTAATTGACGGTCTAGTATATATGTTTCACAAATCTGAGGCTGGCATAGATATATGGAATCAAAGACGTGAACTTTTGAATAAAGCGAAAGATTAGGTGCGAATTATAGGATATTATGGTGCATATTCCTTAATATAGTTTAATTAAATGAGAAGGAACTTAATTAAGTGTGTCTGCGTGTGTATGATGAATATGGAAAAGTGGTCGCTATAATTAAGATAAAAATTAGGGTTGCACTCTTTTTCTTTTTGCTCTATCTCTCTCTCTCTATACTTTTTTCTTTTAGTTTTTAGGATATTCTTTTGGATTACCATGAATTCTATATATTTCTGCCAGTCATAGCCAAATTCAACAAGTATATATTGGAAGTGAACCTGATTCGTACTTATCCTGCATAATTATATAGAGATAGTGCATTTAAACTTAAAGTTATTCTACGATATATCTCGTCAGCCTTAATGCATGTAGCCGTAATTATAAGCGCGTGTTTGTAATTGAACATTGAAACAAATTAATAAATATGTGATTAGTACCTAAAATATGAATAAATATGTGAGGATAGAATGGATTCAGTAAACAAATATTAGTCAGCCGATCCAAACTTTAAAAGGACATAAAATGTGGACATAAAATTAGACACCAACAACACCACCTAATTGTGCGCTCGACAAATTCATGATACACCTCGTGATTAAAGATTGATTCTTATTATGCATTTTTCCGGCGAATATATTGATATTTTTAAACCCAAAAGGAAAGGTGAAAGTGGACCCATAACAATCGTCATGATGCGAACTTCCATTCGCATGTGGCAGATTTTTTTTTTTAAAAAATTGTTTTGCTTGAAGAAAATTTACGCTAGCTTTTTTCTTTTTGTTGGTAAGGAAATTTGCTAACTTCATTCGAGGTCGTGATAATGGAATGAGAGTTGTTGGGAAATGAGTGTACGTAATTGACTCCTTTCAAAAGCCCTTACTGAATTCCAGACGTGCAAAACTGGGAGATTAAGAACTCCATGTGGGTTCCATTTACATGAAATTGTTATACGATTTATTACAAGTTCAAAAGACTCTTTATCTTCCAGGCCAGTCTTTTAAAAGCAAGTTCTCTCAATTTATGCTCATGACGTTAGTATTTTAGTTGAGAGTTCAATATCAAGGGGAAGGCCATTCACAAAAAGTTTTAACCGGTGACAGGTCAGGTAAAGAAAGGCCTTTTCTCAACTAATAGGCTAATGGTACGTAAGGGGAGTTTGACAACCCTACAATTGCTTAAGAAAAAAATATTTTTACATAAATTTAGACAAATCTCATTTCACATACTTGTTTCGTATATTATAAGATTGCTTTTGAAAAGTTAATCCCATCACCCCCGATGTTTTGAAATTTCACGCTCCCTTTAGACGTGCTCCCCAGAAAGAAACCCACCTCTTTCTGTATATATTGTGTATATAGACATTTTAATTTATAAAAGAAATCATATTATTAATAAGTTATCAGCAATGTAACATTACTCATGTGTCTCTTTTTTTGACCCCGTTACTTGTATATAAATATTTCTCAGTCTTCGTGTATAACCATGAGACTCATGTCATTACAAATTTAAATCAGTAATCCATCTGTACTTTAATTTTATTCTTTAATTTGTACAAAACTGAATATGCATTTTCATTTTTTTGACCGTGTACCGATGGATCATAATTTTAATAAAAACGAAAATTCTCGTCACTTGAAGAAGTTTGATTTATATCTCCAAACCATCAAATCAAATCAACAAAATCATCAATATTACTAATATGAATAGAAATACATGCTGTTTTAATTATAAGGGGTTAATACAATTTTTGTTATTTTAAATTTGCCCTTATTTTGATTTTGGTCCCTTAAATTTATCTTCATTTGAATCATTAATCCTTATATTCTAATAAAAATCTAGATTATTTTACTCCTTGAGAGGTCAAAACTTAGAATATAAAACCTGAAGAATCAAAACTAAAATGAGAACAAATATGATTGGCCGACTAACCTTTCATGCAAAATGAGAACGGACTTTTAGTGAGATTTTCAATTATTATTATTATTATGGTCTTTCTATTCTGTCATATATTTTGCATCAGATATTGACTTTAGTTTATCAAAGAGGCAACAAAAACTTCTCCTAGAAGCCATGCTGATTTGAAGATTGTTCAAGCATTAAATTGAGAGAAATTATTTTTAAATAATTCAATTTAATTCGCAAAAAAAGTTTCAATATTAAATGAAAAATCTTAATTTGGGAATGCCAGTTTGAAAAAAGCAAAATTCTATATATGTTCACAAATATTCATTAGGCACGTTGTTTATTTTGTTATGTGAAGAATAAATGTTTTACTGTATGATGTAAATTACGTTTCCTCCCCCCCCCCTTTTCCTGCATTAAAGCAATAAATTCGAGCACATGTGCGTGAAAAAATTAAGTAGGCTAATATATATATATATATATATATATAACAAATATCCATCCAGGCTCAAGAATAATGCTAATATCTGAAGTTAAAAATACCAAATATTAGGGAAGACTTATTAATAGCTACTATACCTTACTATCCCTTGACAAGGAAAAGATGAAGAAATGAGGAATGTGATGTTGAAATTTTACTTTGGTAAATTTAATGTGTCAATTTATGTGCACAGTTTTAGAAGATTAAGATATTATCGTGCTCTTACTCGAATATATTATTGTTAACATCAACCGATGCGTAGCTGATAAAATTTAAAACATGGTTGCTCAATAATTTTAGCCCGTGTTATAGAACCTGCCTCGGTAATCCCATACGGCAAGTGGGGAAAACTGATCAACATCAATGCGATCAATTTTGTGACACAATTATTTGGGATGAACATCATAATAAATTAAAAACCGTAATTGACGTAAGACCTATGCCTATATAAGCGCCCTAGACGACTTGCTCGATTTATATTTTTCTTAAAATTTTCTCTCAGAAATGAAAAGTTCCATCCGGTGTGAAAATTGAAATAGGGTTAAACTAGCACCTCGATGTATTTTGCCAAATGCGGCATCCTAAAGTATTTTATGTCCATTATCTTTAAAAAAAAAAATTTTAGATGCATCTAGCATTTTATAATATTTGTAGTGTAATTTTATTTTTAAATTATTAAATTTGTCAGAAACAGTTATGCTTTTAAAGTATTATTTTATAAGCAATTTTAATTTCATCATTAACTCTTTAAAACTCTATTAAATGAATGTATAGCAAACACCATAAGTGTTTTTTTAAAGTGTTAGATGCACCTAAAAAAATTATCTCAGGCTATTAGATGCACCACAAAATATTTTATAACACTGGATGTGCTTAAAAAAATACTTTAGAGTATTAGACATATTTGATAAAATACTTTGGCAATGTTAGACTCACCTTAACCTATTAAATTATCAAGTAAAGGGAAAAAAAATTGAAATGGTTAATTACACAAGTTTAATACAAATACAATTGCAAATAATAATTAAATTAATGTATTTAATAAAAGGATGACATATCGCAACCCGGTGAAGGCAAAACTGTGACATGTGAAGATTTCCTGCTTTTGCGGCTAGTGGCCGTCCTAGCGCGTATATAAAAATTCTTCCTTTCTTTTTCTTTTTTTGACACTTTTTTACGGGTCAAGAATCAAATGCTACTACTTTGCATAATACGACATCAACAGAGAGTTTCAACTTTATTTGGTGGGGATTAAGCACAGTATATTAATACAGGATCTCTTAATTCATGGAAGAAAAGAAAAGAAAATACGTGGATTATAGTAGCAATTGTGGGATTATCTTCTAAATTATTCCCTTAACCTAATCCAACTTTTGGAAATGTTTGGGCCTAGAGAATCATTAAAATCATGTTCACATCTGCCTTTTTTTCCTTCCCGTGGGTCCAAACATCCAAGACGAATCCCCACAAATAAAGGTTAAACAATTTTTTAAAAAAAAAGATTATTAACAAAATTATCGCCACGTCCGAGAACATCACAAGGGTGATAAAAGATAAAATATTATTAGACTGTACTTATCCCAAGTTCATGTACCAGATCTCCATAAAACGTTGTTACCATAAAAGGTAAGTTCTATCATCCAACGGCCGATTGTCAATGTGACCCCCCCCCCGCCCCTACGCCTAAATCGCTTACCTCTAACCTCTCCCCTGATTGACTCCAAGTCACAACCTTTTCTTTTCATTTCATATCTCACGAAATGCGAATTTCAGTGGAATCTGAGGTGAATTTTGGGGCCCAGATTTTTAACCACGGGGAATTTTATTTAATAAAAGACCATGATGTCTTATAGTAATTATTTAAAGAGCGTTATTAATATGCTCCTGCTTTTTTAATTTTTGACTACCCTACTTCTTTAATGAGTTCTTTTAACCATGCCTGTCTGATTGATTGCTTCGGGTCTATATTTGATGTCGGCTTGTTCACATAAAGGAAAAAGCTGTCTTGCTTTTGTTCAGCCTCTGGTTTCCCGGCGTCAAGTCAGTTTTCTCACAACTTTGATCCCGGCGACAATATTCTGCTGCCTTGGTCCTCGGAAACTGAACTGACTACCCATTTCCTGTTTCTTCCATTCCGGTTACTCCCCTTTTTCCTTCGACGGTGACTGATATGGTGGCCGGAGGCTGTCTATAAGTTATATTTTCATCTGGTTGCTAAATATTGATGTGGCTTTCTTTTCCGTTTTATGGATTCCTTTGTCAATTGGAATAGCTATTAAAGTGTTTCTGTGGGATTTTGGCTTTTTGGGCACCAACAGCAGTTTTTACATGCTTTTACATGCTTTGTTGATGCCGATGTTTCAGCTGCAAAGTTCTGGTTTTGGCGTTTTCATTCTAGCAGAAGAAGTCCATTCTTTTGGAATTTACTCCTGATCAAGATTGCTCCTACTGAAAAAGGGGCGTTCGTGTTGAGTTTCTCATCCACCTCTTTAAACATTTCTGGGAAAAGGGTCTGCTTTTTGTTGTTTATACCAGATGTTATTAGACAACTTTGTAGCAGAAAGTAGAGGAGATTCTTCATCTTGGTGGTCGATTTTAGAGAATTGTCTAACTGTGAAGAGTTTGTGAGCAAGGTTAAATCTTGGTAAATAACGCCAAGTGTTGAATTTGCCGGGGTTATCATATTTATAGGTCGTCATGAAGGCTTTACCGAATGGCTACTTGCCTAATTCTGGCGAAGGTGCGTTTTCTGATGGCTCATTGTCTCGGACTTTTAGTTCTCCTCTCTCCGATCATGTTTTTGTAATTTTTGGTGCACAGACCCACCTCAGTGACTCTATGGATGGTTGGTCTCAAGGAAAAAGCTTTCTGATCTTTCTGGATTAATTTATGTTTCATTTTAGATCCAGTAATTATCACAAGTTCGTGATAGTTCATGTTCTTGAAATTGGTACCTGTTAAGTACATGCAATAACCAATAAATGGAAAATTGATCTTCGGATGAGTTCTAACAGGGTCTGAGGAAACAGAAATGGGAGCGGGTGCTTCATTTTTCTTTTTTTAGCGGATACTAGTTTTTTCGTTGATATTTTAGTTTAGGTAAATTAATGTGTTAGGGTGGCTTATTATCTTCTCCTGAATAGGATGTGTCCCCTTTTTAATCTTTTCCCCTTCCGCTAAGTTTTAGACTTCTTTGAATTAGTCCTCGATTCTTTAGCCCGAATGCGTCTTTGACATATTTTCTTTGTGAATGGTTTACAAACTTCTGGAAATCTGCTTTTTTTTTTTTTTCCCGGTTGCAACTGGAACTGTTGCCTTCGGAAGTTTATTTTGATCTTAAGACGGGCATAGCCGGTTTTAGTTTAGCTGGAAAAAATTAAGTTGGTGAATCATCCTTTTTTATTTTCAATCATTTTGGTAAAAGCAGGTCTTCTACTCTTGTTTGTATTCCCTCTATGCTTGATGGTATTAGAAGTCCCATGGCTTCTCTGTTTTTCAACAAAATCAAATGCGATCATATTCCAACCCTTGTAGTTGATGCGTTAGTTGATTGTTGTATTAAGATTTACTCAAGTTTTTCATGTACAATCAGTTATGGTGAATATATTGGTGGTAATGAATCTAATCTACAGATAACAAGATCAGGAGAATGGAGAAAGAATTCTGGCAAAGAAAATGTCTTGGTGGAGTATTTTAAGTTACTCTCCAGTGAGGCATAATGCCTGTTAAGGAATTTTCAATTAACCTTTTGAAGCTCTGCACTCTAAGCATGTTTTAAGTAACATCTTCTCTTCTATAGTTTGCTTAATAAACATGGGCGCAAACTTTGCCCTCCAAATATTCATTGGTTTTTCCTGTCATCTTCATGTCCAGGAGATAAAATTTTTATTTTCTATTGCAAGAAGCTATTGTCTCAAGTTGTTAGATATTATTTGAAGTACTTAATGCTTGTGTTATGCTCCAAAGTACAATATGAATCTAATTCTTGAGCATTATTTTGTAATACTGTAGTGAGAGCCTTTGCAGCAAGTCTTGACTCTTGGTTAGTTTCACCCACAACAATGCTTCTGAACCAAAGCCTCAAATCAAGTTTTCTGTTTCCTTGAACTCCAAAAGCATGTTGTGTTTATTGTCTTTTATAATGTGATTGGATTTTCTTCCATATTTATTTCTACTGTTATGATCATATGATAAAGCGTTCTGAGAAATGTTGAATATAAAGTTGACTTCTATCAATTTTTTATTTCTCTTTTTCTATCGAATGGAGTAACAGTATGTCTGTTTTGGTGACAGGGGAAAGAAAAACAATCAACTCAGAGTTATGGCATGCATGTGCTGGACCCTTGGTTTCCTTACCTCCTGTTGGAAGTCTCGTCGTTTATTTCCCTCAAGGACACAGTGAGCAAGTATGGCACTCACGTCTTGATTTTAGAGATTGATTGTTCTTCATTTTGGTGTCCGAGTCTGATGGAGTTTATTTTGCCCACTACAACTTTCAGGTCGCAGCATCCATGCAAAAGGAGGCTGATTTCATACCCAGTTATCCTAACCTTCCGTCCAAGTTAATTTGCATGCTTCACAATGTTGCATTACATGTACGTGGACTGGGCTTTCGCTGTTATGCAGTATTGAAACCTTGCAGAGAAAACTTTTGTAATTTTGCAGAAAGAGATTATATATATACACATACTTCTATCTGTAGTGAGATGTGTTTTCCTTGGGTATGAAGCTATATTCATAAAGATCTCCCTGAAATTTTCGGGTCATCCATGGTTATCTGGATAAACTAGTCTAGTAGGACGATTTTGTTTTTATTTTGACAAAAAAAAATGCTGTCATTTCTGGATGAACAAATATCTATAATTTATTATATTTGTTATCAGCTGCCACATCATGGATTAACAGTATCCTGAATTCCTAATCCTATTGATGGAAAAATTTTCCCAGCTGAGTGTATATTCCTTTGTTTTTCTTAATGCGTTAGTTTCTGAAGCATTTGATATGATGACCTGTATAGTTTTCTTGAATAGAATATATATTGATGTTACTTCATGTTTTGGATTAGGCTGATCCAGAAACTGATGAGGTCTATGCACAAATGACCCTTCAACCTGTAAACAAAGTAGGTCAGCTGTTCAATCTGATTATCTGATAACTTACTGATTTGTATCTTTATTCTTTTCCCAATCTTTTTTAATCCTAACCTTAATGTGAAACTTCATCAAGAATTGTTTAATATGCTTGTTCTTCAGTATGACAAGGAAGCAATACTTGCATCAGACATGGGTCTGAAGCAAAGCCGACAGCCTGCTGAATTCTTCTGCAAAACTCTTACAGCTAGTGACACAAGTACGCATGGTGGATTTTCTGTACCTCGTAGAGCAGCAGAGAAAATATTTCCACCTCTGGTGTGTAGAACTTTCTGATTTAGTGTGACAAGATCTACAAGAATTTCTGTAGTCACCATTGGAATATTCCCTTCCTATACTAATTAAAAATGTTTCTGATAGGATTTTTCAATGCAACCTCCTGCTCAGGAGATTGTTGCCAAGGATTTGCATGACAATACATGGACATTCAGACATATTTATCGCGGTACTGCAATTTCACATTTTCTTGATGCCATCCTCCTTTAATGAATCGTTTTTGGAAATTATCTTCATGTACAATCAGAATCTTTAATTCTATAGAAGACAGGTATAATCATGTCAGTCAAGCAACCGTATTCTGGTTATGATGAAACATGTTAAAAACTGATTCTGAAGACTAATACTCTCTGTAGATGTTGCTTAACCTTGGAATCACACCATGAGCGCTTCAACCAAATTACCATTGTGGACGATCCGTTATTGATATTTTGAACACTTCGATGCTAAATTTGTTAATGCACGAATTGCAGGACAACCAAAGAGGCATCTGCTGACTACTGGTTGGAGTGTCTTTGTCAGCACAAAAAGACTATTCGCTGGAGATTCTGTTCTTTTTATTAGGTAAGAAATATATTTATTTTTGTGGAACTTTTAGGAATATATTGTTCCTCTCTTGTTGATCATTTTTTTTAATAGGGATGCAAAACAGCAGCTTCTTGTGGGTACAAGGCATGCCAATAGACAACAACCTGCTCTCTCTTCATCGGTCATATCCAGTGACAGCATGCATATAGGCATTCTTGCTGCTGCAGCTCATGCTGCTGCAAACAACAGCCCATTTACCATATTTTACAATCCAAGGTACTACATCACATTAGATGATAACATGTGATGGCATCTTTTGAATATCTGTGACTGCCTCTTACAGTCTTGGTTAATTCAACAGAGCTAGCCCTGCAGAATTTGTAATTCCATTGGCCAAGTATAATAAAGCCATGTACACCCAAGTTTCCCTTGGAATGAGGTTTAGAATGATGTTTGAGACTGAGGAGTCAGGAGTTCGTCGATACATGGGTACAATTACAGGGATCAGTGACTTGGATCCTGTGCGATGGAAAAATTCACAGTGGCGCAATCTTCAGGTTTTATTAAAATATCTATGTTCTGTGGAGAAAGAATTTATGTATTACTATAATAAATAACACGGAGAATAGGAAAATTATAATTATGCTTGGATTTCCCAGCTGCAGAATTGGTGACTCGAATACTTCTCTGCTGCTTATAGTTTCTAGAAAGCTTAATAATTCATACAAGCGTTCTTCATTTATCTAGTTGAGTGTATCTTATAACGGGCATTAATGTTGAATGCCCTAGGTTGAAATGTCTTCTGTTTCCCTTATATTTTGCTTTGCTGAATATTGAACCTCTGTCTTAGCAATTTAGCTTATTGAAGCTGTCAAATTTTTAACTTATGCTAGGTTGGATGGGATGAATCAACAGCTGGTGAGCGCCCAAGCAGAGTATCAATTTGGGACATTGAACCAGTCGTTACTCCTTTCTACATTTGCCCCCCTCCTTTCTTCAGGCCCAGGTTCTCCAAGCAACCAGGAATGCCAGGTGGAAACCTCCCTGCAATCTATGTAAACGTGGAACAACTTCTAGTAATGTTTTGCTAGATTGCACTCTGCAGTAAATTTATAATTCAGTGTCTAGGTATAATGATGATGAACCACATGAACTGGGTTCGATTCCAGGGGATATGTGATTAGCGTCAATGAACTGTGTGATATAGAAGTTAAAGTTGTGAAGGTTATCTCTGTTAAAGCTGAGCCAATTAGAAAAGAGAAAATTGGTACAATCTGACTTCATGTGAACTTGCTTGCGTATGTCCTTTCACTACCATTTTGCATAACTGTGCGAGGAAAATGATGTAGTTATATTCTTGAGTCTTGCTGCTTTTCCAGTGCCAAAAACTAGCACTCAGAAAGCCTTTATGATGTATTGACGTTCCTTTCCTTTTTGAGTTCATCACTTTGGATGTTGTGTACAGTAAGAGGGTTGATCATCCCTTTGATTTCTTTTGCAGATGATGATTTCGACATGGAAAATGCATTCAAGAGAGCTATGCCCTGGCTCGGCGATGACTTTGGCATGAAAGATGCCTCAAGTTCAATGTTTCCTGGTTTGAGTTTAGTTCAGTGGATGAGCATGCAGCAGAACAACCAGTTATCTGCTACACAATCAGGAATGTTCCCATCTATGCTTTCATCCAATTCCCTTCAGAATAACCTCAGCACTGATGATCCATCCAAATTATTGAGCTTTCAAAACCCTGTCCTCTCTGCATCAAATCTTCAATTTAACAGACCAAATTTACCAAACCAAGTCAACCAATTGCAACAAGCCCCAACATCATGGCCTCAGCAGCAGCAGCAGCAGCAGCAGATGCAATCCTTGTTGCAAGCACCTGTAAACCAGCTCCAGCAGCAGAGGCAGCAGCCGCAGCCGCAGCTGCAGCCGCAGCCACACCAGCTTCCTGAGCCACAAAATATGACGCCGCAGCAGCAGCAGCAGCCACCACCCCAGTTGCAGCAACAGCGAGTACAACAACCACAGCAGCAGCAGCAATCATGTCAACAGGCCATTATAAACAATGGGGTGATTGGTTCTAGCCAAATTCCAAATCCGAGTGTGCAACAATCAATAGCCTACTCTCAGCTTCAGCAGCAGCAGTTACTGTCAGCCAGCATGCCTCTTCAGCAAAATATTCAATCAGCTAGCAAAAATACATTCCCACTCACAACCTTATCACAAGATTCACAGTTTCAGCCACAGATAGACCCACAAGCTACTCTCTTGCAGAGGCAGCAGCAGCAGCAGCAACAATCCCAATTGCAGATATTCCAACAGAGCTTGTCACAGAGGGCCCCACAACAACCCCAAGTGGCTCAGTTGCCACCACAAAACCTGTCAGAACAACAGTTGCACATACAGTTGCTACAAAAATTGCAGCAGCAACAACAGCAGCAGCAGCAGCAGCAGCAATTTCTTTCTCCAGCTAGTTCACTTTTGCAGCCTCAGCTGCTACAGCAACAGCAAGCACATGTACCAAACCAACAACTACCACAGCCGACTCTGTCTCAGCATCAGCCTCAGCCTCAGCAGCTCAGCAACAATGCATTATCTGCAGAGAAGCTTCTGGTCAGCAACGGCTTTTCTTCTTCACCTCTGATACAACCACAACAGGTTCCTTTGAATCAAGCCCAGAATACACCAAAACCACTTACAACTACCAAAGCTCCTTCTAGTCTTACAGATGGAGATGCCCCGTCATGTTCAACCTCACCATCAACTAATAACTGCCAGGTATCTCCACCAAACCTTCTGAAGAGAAATCAACAAATGCCAGCAACATTAGGGGGGAGCTTGGTGGTTGAGCCCACAAATAATCTGGTACAGGAGCTACAGGGAAAGTCTGACATCCAGGTCAAACATGAGTTGCCAGGTGTTAAAGGGCCTGATCAGCTAAAGTATAAAGGGGCAATAACTGATCAATTGGAAGCCTCTTCTTCTGGAACATCTTATTGCCTTGATCCTTGCAGTGTGCAGCCAAACTTTACCCTTCCCAATTTCTGCATGGATGGGGATGTCCAATCGCATCCTCGGAACAATGTTCCATTTGCCTCTAATCTTGATGGATTAACGCCTGATACTTTGCTCTCTAGAGGGTATGACTCACAAAAAGATCTTCAAAATTTGCTCTCTAACTATGGGGGTGCTCCGAGAGATATAGAAACTGAGCTGTCGACTGCTGCTATCAGCTCTCAGTCATTTGGTGTGCCCAGCATGCCCTTTAAGCCTGGCTGCTCAAGTGATGTTGCCATTAATGAAGCTGGGGTTTTGAATAATAGCTTGTGGGCTAACCAGACTCAGCGAATGCGAACATATACTAAGGTTTGTTGTTTGTCAATTTTTATTAGTGCGTATAAGTTCTTGATTTAGCATATTTGCTGAATTCACACGTCAATTTTCGTTGCACTTCATACTGTCATGCAATGCAAAGAAGGTGCAAATTGAGTGGAGTAGAGATCTTATTTGTTCTTTTGATTTTAATAGTTCATTTGCTTTTAATTCACATGTACATTCACCTAATGTTTGATGGCTAACTAGTCTTGGTTCTCCTTTTCGTTTTCTTTCTTTCTTTCTTGTATTTCTTGCTCAATGTTTATCACCCATGTGTGTCATGAATTTTTTCTCATTACCAAGTTCAAGTCTAAAAGGATTAATTTTAACTTTAGTTAGCATCTTTTCCTTGATGGTTTAAATTATACAATAATCAGCCTTGTCTTGGGAACACTGTGCCCCCTTGAAATCACCTTTTGCTTTTTGTGATTTATACTTTTGGTGGTAAGCTTAATGCTGCTTTAAAATGCAGGTTCAAAAACGTGGCTCCGTTGGAAGGTGCATTGATGTCACTCGTTACAAGGGATATGATGAACTCAGACATGACTTGGCTCGTATGTTTGGGATTGAGGGGCAATTGGAAGATCCTCAAAGGACTGACTGGAAACTAGTATATGTAGATAATGAAAATGACATTCTTCTTGTTGGAGACGACCCTTGGGAGTGAGTAGCTAATACCTCCTAGTTTGTTCTATCATACCTTTTCAGCCCTCTTGGTTTGTTTCCTTAACATTTCAACTTATACTTCTTTGCAGAGAATTTGTGAGCTGTGTTCAGAGCATAAAGATACTGTCATCTGCTGAAGTACAGCAAATGAGCTTAGACGGGGATTTAGGTAACGTTCCAATATCCAACCAAGCTTGTAGTGGAACAGACAGTGGTAATGCATGGAGGGGACCATATGATGATAACTCGGCTGCCTCATTTAATCGATAAAGATGTCAGAGCAGTCTATTTGTATATTATGAAAGCCCGAGGACCAACTGTGTCCTTGACAGTTCTGCTCATTGTCTTGCCTCTCTATGACTGAAGAAAGGAGCCATAATCATTTGAAGTGATGCAGCTGGTTAGGTATAGTAGGAGATTGTTGCCCAAATGGATTCTAATGGGGATAAGTTTAGGATCTTAGATGTAGAAGTAGCAGATTCGGTTATTGTTCTCGTGTTATTGCCTCAAATCTGCATTTCTCGTTGCTGCTGTTTTAGGAAAATTTTTCCCCTTTTTGGCTAAATGCAGCGGTATAGGCCAAGTAGTGTATAATAGATGGTTCTGATATGAAATTATTTTTTGGTTTACACTTCATAACTCTGTAAATCATGTGGTGAAAGTGCAAAATGTTGTAACCATAGTGATGACTCGGACGGTTGACAATGGTTGAAAATTCTAACTTTTTTAGCAGCGACCAGGCTGTTTCCTAGGCGTCAATATTGGGGAGTTGCATTGTGGATGAGGAAAAGCTCGTTTGTTTTGGACATGTTTTTTGGGTGTTGCGTGTTTCATTTTGCAGTTGACTTAATTTATGTAGAAGATACATCTCAGCCGAACTGCTTCGTAACTGTGCTCAAGTGTATCTTTCTCCACAGAAAAAGTTGTGATTCCTTGGTAATGTTTGTCTGGGGCCAGAATTCTCGAATCTGGAAATCGTCGAAACGAATCATGCCAATATCAATAACTTCTGTTAGCCACGGATTTTAGAACATGACCGATGAGTTTAGCTCCTAAACCTTCATATTATCATAATTTCTCTTAATTGAGTTTAAAGGAATAAACGAATTGTTTTTCTAAGAGGAAAACTAGTCCGCCGGTTATACTAATTTATCTTAAGTCTGAATTAAATGTTTATAGTTTGACCAAGCATTATCTTTGGATGTGAAAATCGTTCTAATCTTCTAACCAAAAAAAAAAAAACTGTTCTAATATTAATTATTTTAATTTATAAAGTTTCGTGGAGTTTATGAATTTTTTTCATTTTATTTAACACTTTAACGTGCGCTTTTACAAATGAAATTTCATATGATCTATACATTAAAATTAACAGATCAAGCAAAGTTCAATCAAAACAAGATAAATTATAAAAATCTGAATCAAAGTTGAAGCAAATTACAAAGATTCGCCGATTACTTTTTTAAATGAAAGGGGCAATGTTTGTGATCCAACATTACCATGACACCCTCATTTCCACCAGTTTTTTTTTTTTAAAAAAAAATCATCTATAAACACAATTCCACTGAATTTCTTTTAACTGAAGGGAAAATATATATTATCCCCTTTAATTAAAACTTCGTTATATTAATATTGTATTCAGTTAAATGATGGATAATATTTTGTTATATTAGGTATTAAAATAATTTTTGGATAGAATTTAAACTAATAATTCACTTTCAAGGAAACTCAAACTCAAATTCTAGTAATCACTCTTATTAGAACTAATACACAGGGCAACCAAACAAAGCCACGTCAGCATCATAAAAATGCAAACATCAATTGATGTGCTATTTCCAAGGTCCAGACGAGCTTCGTATGAACTCATTTTATGGCTGACAATCTTTTACTCCAACCCTTGACCCACCAAGTATCTAAGAAGCATCGGGCTACATTTGATCGGAAGTTTGAAAAGGTGATGGGCATTATGCGCTAATGGCACATAAAGTGACTCCTATACAGGTTTTCCCCAGCCTTAGAGACACAACGTTTTTTTTTTTTTCCGTTTTGGACTGAATCTTAAGAGACACAATGTTAAAAGGAAAAGCTGCAACTAAACGAACTCATAACAAGAAACGTCCTCCAAAAACAAGCTGCAGAATCGCAATCAACTATATTTCAGTCGTTACAAACAAAATTCCATCTTCCTCAAGACAAATACAAAACATGAAAAAGATTAACTCATCAGGCCCAAAAAGAAAACACTAGGAAAGGACAGCCATGACATCTGAGACCCTCAAGGTAATGTAGTCAGATCCATCCTTGCCCTTGAAGTCATTCCCCGCATACTTGGAGTACAGAACAGTGTTTCCAGGACTCACGGACAACGGTTTTCTGTTGCCTTCCTCATCTAAAGGCCCTGGTCCAGCAGCTATCACCTGTTACATCCAAAGCAGAACAGATTATGGTCGACCACTAGAAACTGATGCAGTAAGATTACTTGGAACTATTACATTGTTTTCGCACCCAAACACTCGTGTCTAAATTTTAAACGAAACACCTGTCTACCCCAGAAATCTTCTTGTGATAACTTTATCATCAAGTTAGGAAGCATACCGTTCCAATAGATGGCTTCTCTTTCGTTGCCTCCGTCAGTAACAAACCCCCTGCAGTTTTTTCCTCAGCTTCTGCAACCTGTGTTAATATTTAGTTAATTGATACACCCCACGTTCAGTATCCCAAAAATCCTAAATATGACAAAAATGAGTATTTTTAAAAAAGGAACGCCCGCATAAAAGATAGAAACTTCAGGTTAACAAAAGCTATGAACAAGTTCACAATATACACATGCCTAAAGGATAAGAGCATTTTATGATAAAATAATAGATGATCCAATGTCATGCTTCCCTTCCAATCCCGTGACAACATATGAAAAGCTCCAGACAGGGCATACCTTGATCAACACCCGATCATTCAAAGGTTGAAGATCCTTGATATCATCCGTTTCAAGGATGCCGACAATGTCATCATCCTTCAGTATGAGATGCTTTGAACCATTAAACTCCACCTCAGTCCCTGCATACTTTGAATACACAACTTGTGCGCCAGTCTGTACAACAGAAATGCATAGCATCAATTAGAATTATAGTACACGCCCTCAATGACACCCAAGAGAAGATGATGTGAACAGATAGACAACAAAAGGGTTTAAGAACCCTTGTTAAAGGGACGATACCTTCACAGCAATGTCAACTTTACTCTTCCCAACTGTCTTTCCCTCTCCAATAGCAACCACTTCACCACCCTGAGGCTTTGTTTGAGCAGTTGTGGGAAGTAAAATCCCACCATCAGTCTTCTCTTCAGTATCCTTAATTCTTACCAGCACTCTGTCACCCAAAGGCTTGATCGAGGTATACTGCATAAAATAATTACCAATCAGCCATGTGTAGCATAGATTAGGGAGAAATAAACTCTACAAACAATCACAAAAAAAAGATAGAACATCATGTATTCCTAAATAGTTAGGTTCAATTATAAGGGCAAAGTGATTACCTAAAGCATCGATTTATTGAACAAATATTCAGTAAAGATTCATTCAACTAATATTTTCTATCGGGTTCACTGCTCACCCACAATTGGGTGCAGGAGTTTATAAATACCAAGAAGCACGGGAAACATTTATGTCCAAAAAGTCACATTGTATAATTTAAGCTTCCCCATCTCTGCATAACCGGGGCAAACTCGCAACTAGGATGACCTACAGAGGGCCAACGCATCCCGCAAGAAAGAATATTAACGACTACAAACAGAAAACTACAGCCGTGGCCATAATTGTCTAATCAATATTTGCTTTTCCTTTTTTCCTTTATTAAAGCTCTTCGAAATGAACATGAGGGCAACAACAACATACCTTAGGGGCAACAACAGTTGCGGCTTTAACAACCAAACCCCGGAACGACTTTTGAGTAAGACCACCTATTCTTACGTGTCTGGCAACAGAACATTGAACCATCGAAGGTCGAAGACCTTCGAACGAAGGCAAATTCACGGTCGAAAACGATGATGCTGTGAGTTGAGCGGTCGCCATTGGAAGGTCTACGGCCTAACTGCCCACAAAATCAGTAGAAGAATAAAGGTTATCTAACATACTCAACTTAATGGCAGGAAGCAATACAGAAAAGAGATAGAAAACAGAAAACTCGCAGCACAATTAAGCAGCTTGAATGTCAACGTAAGTACAAGGGCTAATTTTCCACATTTTCCAGGAAGCGAGCATATTAAGCCAAAAAAAAAAAAAACTGACTTGAAGCTTTACCACAGAAGAGGATAGAATAAGATGATACCTAAATCAGAAGTGAGCTAACTTAGTGTAGATTCTAATTTGCGACCGACCTTTGGGAGGGGAAGAACGAAAGCGTTGAAGAAATGAAGATAAAACCCTATAAAGGATTGGGGTTTTTATCAGATAGATCCTTCTAGAATTCTCAGGAACCGAGTGTGACCGAGTAGGCCTCGATGCCACTCGGGCAGGCGGGTCACACCGTTCATTTAGGGTAACAACAGTTTTTCAAAAAAAAAAATTTTTTTTAAGGTTTTTTTTTAACCAGAAAAATAAGGTTAACTAGGCCTTTCAATTTCAAATTAAATTTGATTTCAAGGGCTGAACTTTGTTTTTTTGGGCCAGCTCAAGGGCAGAACTTTGAAAGCAACGTCTTGCAGGTGATTTTATTTCGGTTCCACCTCTAATTTTATATAATATTATTAATTCATATTTCTTAATATATTATGAAAATTTAAACTCTTCTTTAAATTACTCACTGGCATCTTAAAGTCTTGTACATTTTTTTATTAAATTTTTAGTGCAATCTACTCAATAGTATGGCATGGGAATTAAAAGAATTACATGTCAGATGCGGAGCTTTGTTTTGTTTTGTTTTTTTTTTGTTTGCCAACAAGGTAGAGATTTGTTATGATCATTAAAATTATTTGAATATCTTAATAGCTCAACTTTTTTTTATTACAAATTGCAGTATTCTAACATTATTAAGAATTTCTATTTACACTTTCAGAATTTTTGCGCTTTAATTGGTCAAGGTACGTGCATATTATTGTTGATGAACCTACTAAGCTCTTTTTTACATTCTATCGTCTGCAAGCTAGCTGACATTTTTTTTTCTCCCCAGAAGTAATCGTGTGTGTGAGAAAGAGAGATAAATAAAATGGATAAAACTTAGGTTTGACTGTTTATATTTATTAAGTCAAATTTATATGTGAATTTATAGGGTACATACACATTTTGATAATTATTGCTTATCCGTCCCTATTGTAAAACCTAATTAATTTGAATCGATCAAGAATATTAATCAAATTAGTTAAGATGATATATATTTTTTTAAAATACCCCAATCATCTTCTTTAATTTTTTCTTTTCCTCTTCTACTTGATTATTATTGAAGGAATATTAACAGGATTAATTTAAAAAAATTAATAAACATATGAAATAAGTATTATATATGGGACAATATTAACTCTCAAATTAGATCTTATATTAAAAACTGGAGGAGTAATACCAAAATAACTAGTGTTTATATTTCATTACATAAAATTATTATTGCACATACACATTTTAATAATTAACAACAGCAAAATAATAAATGTCAATATAAAAATTTATAAGTTCTAATTTACATTATAAGTGCTTCTACAAAAATTTACAGGCGTTCATAAGTAAGTTTACAAATACATATAAATACTTTAACAACTAACCATGACAAAATAATAAATTAAGAATTTCACCTCATAAATATAAACTATCTCATACAGGTTTTGTGAAAAGCATAACAGTTCAGTTCGAAAACATATATGCAGTCTGTTTGGCATAGCGTTTCAGAGGACACTACTATAGAATTACAAATATTTGACGCATCACACTTAACGGTTATAACAAAAACCATCAAATAAGGTGAGGCAGAATTTGCCAAAGGAAAACTTGACGGTTTTAAAAGGAACTCTCATATATTTTATAAGAATACTTGACGGTTCTAAAAAGGAACCGTCAAGTATTCTCAAACAATATTTGATTATTTCTTTGAGAACCATCAAGTTTAATAATACTTGATATTTTTTTAGTACAACAATCAAATATTTGGGAAGAATATTTGTTGGTTATATTGAAAAACCGTCAAGCATTTGATTTTAAAACCCCCAAATCTGTTTATTTCACTTAACCTGATTTTGAAATTTTAGGCGCCTTTCTTCTTTCCAAGCTCTGTTCATATCTCGCAGACCTATAATTCACCATCCCCATCTCATTTCTGGCCTTTTCCTTTGGCTTTTGTGGTTCTTGCAGCCTCATTGTCGCACGGTGTGGTCGTCCTCCATCATCATCATCGCTCAAGCTTGTTCTCCAGAGTTTATAGCTTCAGGTTGGCCTCTTCTGTTAAATCCCTAATCTGTTGTTGTTGTTCCTTCCAAATGGTTTTAGTTGAATGTGAATGATAGGTTGAATGATAGAATGATAGACTCCAATCCATTATTTTTGCTCCATTATCGCTTCTTTGTACTGTTTGGCTGAGGAATGTGGTTTTTTTTTTTTAATCAAACAACCCCAAAACTGTGTTTTTGGTAATGGAGGAAGCTTGTGTTTGGGTAATGGAGGAAATGGCATCCTACAATGAGAAGCCTCATCTTTTTTTTTAAATGTTTGATTGAGTTTTTTTGCATTTATTTTAGATAAAATCAGAGCCCCATAAAACCTGGTTGCTACGTTAAGTGCTGGGGGGATGGAAGAAGCTAATTAGTGGAATGGAGGGAAGTGGAGAGAATTGCTCGATAAGGAGATTCCTGGCCGATGTATTTGAAGCATGTTTAATTGTTTATCAATTTAATCTTGATTGAGTTTTGTGATATTGAGTTATTAAGTATGTCTAAGTGTTTGATAATTATGTTGGTAAATTTGGTTTAAGATGCAAGTTAATAGCTTTTTTCATGCTCCTTTGGCATAAATTCTATTTTGTTATTAAAATTGACTTGAGTGCCTTATGTTTATGTAATTATAAATTATTGAATTTTAATTAATTTGTATGTTGTTAGTAAAATTGCCTTATAATTTGCTGCTAAATATTTTATTTGAAGTAAAATGGAGGGCATAAAGCCTGAGAAATGCTAAGTTATATGCCGTTGTGCTGCCAAATTTTTTTCCAAATAGAATAGCACATTAGTAGTAGTAGAATATTTTTCAAAGAAGATGAATTTGTTTGATTTGGGTTAAAATATATTCTCACAATATCTTTGAGTCACTGATCACATTTTCCTCTAAATGATCATCTTAGTTGGGGACTATGAGCAATGAATGGATGTCCGCCAATCATCTATCAAAAGAATATTGAGATAGGGTAGAAGATTTTATTAAGTTTACGATTGAGCACGCCAATGATCATAATAGGATTATTTGCCCTTGTCTTAAGTGTTGCCTTCTTAAGTGGGTTTCGCCATCCTATTGTGAGAGCCACTTAATTATCAATGGCATTGATCAAAGTTATAAGTGCTGAACAAAGCACAGAGAGACAAGATATGCGAGTAATAATAATAGAGGGCATAGTGAAAGCTGTGGATCATCCAATTTTGACACAAGTACATATGAAGCTGACCGTCTTGAGGATATGACCAATGCGATTGAACAAGAACTCGAGGATTGTCCTAAAATGTTTGATAGATTAAAGTGTGATGCTGAGACGCCTCTATATGAAGGTTCTGCCGATTTCACAAAATTATTTGTAGTGTTGAAATTGTATAATTTGAAGGTAAGAAATGGGCGGAGCAATACAAGTTTCACAGAACTACTTTTGCTTGTTAAACAAATGCTACTGAAAAAAACAAGCTTCCAAGCCAAACGTACGATGCAAAGCAAGTGTTGCGCTTTGTTGGCCTCAGTTATGAGAAGATACATGCTTGTCCCAGCAATTGCATTTTGTTTAGGAAGAAGTATAAGTCACTAACCGAGTGTCCTAAGTGTAATGCGTCACGCTACCAAGAGAATGGGAAGAGCCTGAAGAAGGCATTGTGGTATTTTCCCATTGTGCTAAGATTCAGATGCTTGTATAGTAATGTAGAAGATGCGAGAAATTTAAAGTGACATGCAGATGAAAAGAAACATGCTGATTAAAAGAGTAAGTTAAAGTGCAAGCACTCCTAATCGATCAATTGATCAGAAATTAAGCATCACAGCCAGCTCCAAATCTCAGTCTAAGTGGCAAAGACAGCTGCACATTCCCCTTGCTACTTGAGATATAATACTTCTTGTGTTTATATGATTACATTCAATTATTTTCATATCACACTACTCTTATGTTTGTTCAAGGTAAAGCGAACATTCAGTGTGTGGCGGATAGCCTTAAACATCACACTATTGCAACAGGCCTCATGTTCAATTTATCAGGGGGAAAGCATGATTCATAATGTGTCTCTCCCTGCTGATCATGTGAGGGTGCAGTTGAACACTGCTATTGATCCTAATTATGCCTTTCTGATGCCAACCCCAGATGTAGAGACAGTAGCTCAAGCAGTGGATAGCTTTGTTGCTTGGCCTAGCCGTCTTCTTGTGTTAGGACATCCTTCAAAGATATATATGTATAGGTTGAAACCTTCAGTTGATTTAAAATAAACTTTGTTTTAATTACTAACAATTTGTTTGTCAGTCTAAGAGGAAGAAGAGCCTATTGGGCAATCACTCATTATCATAGCCACAGAAGTAGCCCTTTGAGCCCATTCAAGCGGTATCATCAAGATCCTGAATCTGTCTTGAGGAATATGCAGTTGGGGCCAGATTAGAATATGGCGATTCCTTAATGATTCCCCTAGAGTTTAAGCTAGAGATCTATGATCAACCATCGTCAGACTACGTCACAAATGATGTATTGAAGGAAATTCTGATATATGTAATGGCTAGTACAAATGCCTGTAACTTTTGTATTAGGTATTTCTTAAAACTTTAATTAAATACTTAACTACTTGAATATTTATTCTATTGATTTGTTTGTTTCTTGATTTAGGCATCTTAACGAGAATTTTATTGTCCCAAGTGATCTCAGTGACAAGTTCAAGATTATCAGCCTCCACACTTTTGCTAGCCAGGCCCTGATATGAAGAGGAAAGAGACTTATCCAAAGATTTGGAAGATATCTTCATTTCTAAGACAACAAAGGCTAAACTTTATTTTTGGCACCTTATTGTCAAAGTAGTATATCGAACTTCCTAAAATTCTTTTATTTTTAAATATTTTGTAATTGTTCTAATTGTCTTTCTTATACTTAGGGGATACTGGATGCTGATTATGGTCAATCCCACAAAGCCAAAGATTTAGTATCTTGATTCTCTTCATTGGGATTTAACCAATCGACCATTTATGGTTTTATTGTTTAATACGTAAAATTTATATCTATTCTTCATATTTAATTTAATTTCTTGCTTT